CTAGTAATATGAATACGTAGTTTAAAACGGTAGCACATATCATTATTTCATCAGATGAATGATGTATTCCCGAATTACATTTATACTTACTTACCTATATCGATTTTATTTCAACTCAAATGTCAGCACTCATATAAAAAAGGCATTTGTTTTGACATAAGTGGGAAGTCAACGATAACTCTATAGTAATTTTGCACATACAGTTGTATATAAAGAAAAAATGCGTAAGAGTCTTGCTCAACTTTTTGAGCTGTTTTTATTATCTCAAATACCATGTGGAGCAGTCCCATCAACTTAATTCAATTTTGTCAAACTATGAATATAGAAGTATGACAACAACTTTTAATCCTGGTATTGACCAAACCAATTTTTCGAGAGATTAGATTATAAGTAAAACAAAGAAAATTATTTCTCCAAAAATATTTGAAACATTCTTATGATTTCAGAAACTATACTATACTACTACTATATATAGAATAGAAGAACCTGTTCTTAGAATATACAAAATTTACACACATTCTTAGAATATATAGAGTATACCGTTTAAATGATACACCAACCCAAGTAAAACAAGTTATGAATAGCTGTTTATAAATCCGTACGTAGGTAATATGGGTGATCATAGTAAAAAATCTTTGCATAAATCCCAAAAGTTTTGTTGAAAATATGAGAAACAGTTTTGTAATCATTTTTATATGAAGTCATAATTTGTTATTCGCCGAACTGGAGGTCGATTCCACTGTATTTTAACCACCTAATTCAGCATAGGTGACTAGAACCATTAAGGGGTTAGACCAGTCCCGTGTCTTAAAAATTCCTGATTTTGATAATTTATTTTATTCGGGGGGTAAAGAAAAAAAAAAATCAAATTTGATTCAATCTTTATAAAACAATTTTTTGTGAGTATAAAAAATGATTGGAGTTTTGTTACAAAATGGTGGCTACTGGGCCAATCTGCGGAATAGCCCTTTTAAAGATGTAAAAAAAGAAAGAACATTTTGAAATAATAGCAATAAAATGGTAGATAGTTCTTTATGTAATTATATTGGGAAAATACAGTTTAAAATTTGCGATAGTCCTCAAGGACCGAGCTCAATTTAAAAATTGTAGTTTCGTTTTAAGTTACGTAGCTGACTGAAAATGTATCGAAGAAATTTCTAGATTGGCCTAACTCCAAAATTCTTACTTTGCAGTCAACTGGAAATGGTGTGAAATGGGTAGTTTATCCGCTGTATATGCTGTATAAAAAATTTATTTTTATTTTCATTGATATATTCCGCAATTCTGTCGATTATTAAGCTATAAGCAACCTTGATATAATTAATAAAATAATATATGAACCATAGGCAAGGAAAAAGATCTAACAAGATACGTTTTGAACCACTGAAACGGTAAATTTAAGATTAGTGCCATTAATTTGTGATATATGATATTTCTACTATTCTCGTCATTCCGATTATTTTGATATAAATACATAAAACGAACTAAAACTTTATGTGCCGCGGAATAATTTAAATCGTGCAATTCGAAAAATAGTATCGACAAATGGCCATCTTTGGCCACAAAATCTCCTCTGTGACGCTGCAACCCATTAGCACCTCGTTTAAAATAGTTTAACACCAGACGCGAATTGTTGCAAACACAAATGACAATGGATAACCGAAAACGGCACATGCCTTCATATAAAAAAAGTTAAAAATAACAATAACAGTGTCAACAACGTGTTTCAGATGAGTCCGAGAGCTGCAATTATTGCAGAAGTAACAATAGACTTAAAGCATAATTTACAAATATAATATACACCTATCTATGTATATATACTTTTATATGTATAGGGGGTTTTTAGAGATGTAAAAATTTAATTTCAAAATGAAATGGTCAATAAATTGACTTTTTTGTTAAAAAATGTTATGGCATTCGGTTTGAACTGATTTTCAGACAGATGGTCACCGCGATTAATAAATAATATTTACATATTTGTAAAGTAGGAAATTTCGTTCCTTACTGAAAATAATTAGATGTGTACGAGCAGATATTTATGGTAAGCTAACCCATCCATAACGGCAGTTTTTTCCAAGATTTTTAATTGGTTTTTCCGATGTAAGTCTTTGTTTGATTTGTCAACCCATACTGATTGTAAATGTCAAACACATGTCTTTACTTTGACACCTAATTTGAGGGATATCCCTCTAAAAGATTCCATGTCACTAAAGAGGCATCCTATATACCATATACGCTTGATAGTTTTATACTAACTCGAAAACAGGGCAACATAGACAAACAAGCATACTCGCACCGAAAACCCCGCAGCCGTGTGGAACTGAAGCACTCAAACATATGCTATTGTGGAGAAAACACTTTTATAACCGTTAGTGTACAAGGTGCGTTCCAAAGTAAACAATAAAAAAGTAACAAAGTAAACTCTAGTGGCGCCATCTATATGTCAACAAGTGCGTTAGAATCTGCTATCCTTTATCGACTTCCAGTAAAAATTTAATTATATTTCATCTATTGGAAGTGAAGTTATTGCGTTTTAAGTGTCAGTATGTTTTTGTCATCGGTGCGAAAATGAGCTTCGAACAAAGAGCCAACATTAAATTTTGTTTTAAAATTGGTAAAACTTTTACCAAAACGTTTCAATTGATGAAACAAGTTTATGGCGATGATTGCCTATCCCGTAGCAGAGTGCATGAGTGGTTTCAACGTTTTCAAAGTGGTCGTGAGGACATAAATGAGAAATGAGCCGAAACCCAAAAAATCGCGCCTGGAGAAGTCAAAAGTGAAGACAATGCTTATTTGTTTTTATGATATGGTCCACAAAGACTTTGTTCCACCCGTACGGTGCGCCGTATTCGACGTGTTCGGCCCGAATATCGCGAAGATGGAAGTTGGCGTTTGTTGTACGATAATGCGCCGTCTCATCGATCGACGCTTGTGGCCAATTATTTGACCAAAAATCCCATTTTAACAATCAACCACTCCCCGTATTCACCTGATATGGCACCGTGCGACTCCTACATTTTCGGAAAAATGCATTTGCCGATGAAAGGAAAGCATTATGCAGACGTGGAGGCCATTCAAAAGGCTTGCACCGGCATACTGACGATCATACCGGGCAACGAGCTAAAACACTCGTTCGACATGCTTTTGGAGTGCAAATAGCTGTATTAAGGCAGAAGGAGACTATTTTAAATAAAATTAATTGGTTTTGCCGATAAAACCATTTGTTCTGTCTTTTTTTTTAAAGTTCTGTTTACTTTGGAACGTACCTTGTATACGTATTTGGAGAAAACGTACTAACTCGCTACGATATATCAACATATGCATGTGGACTTAGCTGTGTGTATTGTTGTACAACTTGAATGTACAAAATTACGCCAGGAGCTATAGAGTGAACGCTCGTACAAAAGCGTACAACCACAATTGTGTAGCCTCCTTACTTTTATGAATGTGGATGTACTTGTATGTGTGTATTGACGGCGTTAGGATAACTGCAGAAGCGGTTACCGATCAAACCCTGCTATCACGCTGTGAACTAAACAAAAGTGTTGAAATTATAACAAAATTCTCAATCGATCGACTTCAATGTAAAAATTGCGATAAAGTTTTCAAATCGAAGCCAGTTGGAAAACTGCATTTAGTTAGGTACATAATTTTGATGGATCTAAGGGTTTTGCTAAGGTTATCATACTCACTTATTTAGTTTTAGATATCCAACTTGCTTTTCGAGATATTTATCTCTTAATTATTTCATGAATACGGAAATCAATACTTTTGTTAAATAGAAGACATAGGTATATTTTTATGCAGTTTATCGCACCAACTGATGTCAGATCTGTCGTGTCCAAACATTGTCGTTAAGATGAATTTATTAATGTTTAATACTAGGATAGTATGAAATGAAGAGTTGGCTGTTGCATAATTTTGTCTTTTTCACAGTTTTACAACCGGTTCTTGTTTTTTCCGCATACTATGTATCTTTCCAGCACAACTACATACAGGCTTATACATATTTATCAATTTTTGAATAACACCTTTTTAACCGATGATTTAGTTGTAATAAATGCATTTACATTTATATAATATATATCTAAATTTTCAAGCTAGATTTGAATACTTTTGTTGTATTGAACAAATATACGGCTGAAATATCGCCCAGTGTCAACCTGCCCAGCCGGTCCAGATGTCGAGTCTCTAAGGGAGATAAATTATCTACGGAAATAGTGGAAATCTTTTAAAGGACATATTTTTGAAGATTAAGCTCTGAAAATATGAAAACAATTCTTTCACTTAATATATAGAATATTATATATACATATATATATGATTTGTTCATGATGCTCTCTGGAGGTTGACCCTGTGTTTCAAGTTGATAAATATATATAACTTAGATACTACTAAAGATACTTTGACTATAATTTGTATAAAGTTAACTTTATAGATTAAGAACTTTTCCTAGCCTCCGTTTACTTACCCATTACAATTATTTCAGTTTCATTATTTGATTTTATCCTGGACAGATACTAAAAAAAATTTCAAGACATTATAAAAAAATGTTCATGCAATTTAAATATACCAAATCATCGAATTTATTTTTCTAATCATTCTAAGCAAGCTTGCCTGAAATTTTGTCACATTGTATTCGTTCATTGTTTGAACTCCTTTGATTCGCTTCCGAACTTAGTCGCACTTTCGCCAACAGCGCGTCGCTCATCTGTCAAAGCGGCGGAAAACGGAAATTAATTTGCTGTGCGTCTGGTGCGAACTCAAGGTTTTGGAAACCTTTTCAATCTCTTTTCATTGTCGTAATGAATGTCTTTTCAGGTGTTGTCGTCAAATGCCAAAAAAGAATAAAGGGCATGAAAAATGTAAATTTAATAGAATCAGAAAACAAATGAAGAGAGTGGTAATAAAATTTATTGATTTTAAATATTTTCCAAATATCCAGACTAATAAATATATGCATGCATTAAAGTTGTTATGTTTTTCCCTCATTGCAGATGCCACTAATGTTGCTGTAAGCTGCTTGTTGCGCCAACTATCCTTCAGTGTCGCAATTGCTTTTCAAGAGTACACGCAGTACTTAATAGTAAAATTTTAAATGACAAGTATTTGCAAGCAAATCCTACCACTCACTTCACCATCATATCGCCCAAGTAATGCCAAAGCCACGGCAAAAACGTTACTGGCATTGGCTAAAAACGGGCCAATTATACCGTCTCACACTTATTGTAACAACAATATGCATACCACTTTGCAGTAGTGCTTCCGGCGCTACGAGCTACTTAACCACTGAGATATATAGCACCCCTAAGAGCAACAACAACAGCACCAGAAGCCAATTGCAAATTTGGCGTTATAAACTTACAAAATCACAGGAGCTAGAACTACAGAACTTACAGCCAACACAAATCAAACTAACCAACACGCACCAAAGCAAACATAAACTTACTCTTCAACCAACACACAGTCATGAAAGTGTGCCAACTGAACGAGCTGTCTTGACGCAGACAAGAAACCGTCCCAACGTCGAGCTTAATTTGCCTACGCCTGCGCTTGATAGAATTGGTGGTGATGATGTGGCAAAGCATAGGCATGTAGCATATGGTCTACAACAAACACCGACCCACGACGACACACTCGTAAAAGTACAAAACGTTAGCGACGGTATGCGGCCTGACCCGCAGACTGTGGAGAAAATAAACTTTAGTCGCAGCTCGATGAGAATTTCAGCCAATTGGCCTGATAACAATTTGAAGGTTAATCAAGTGTTTGAAAGTCAACGTCGCATGACGACGGCAGAAATTCGTCGCAACAGCCGACGAATTGTTTTGCTTGGTCTGTTCGAGCTCTCCAACCGGCAGGGACAACGTTTGGATGGCTGGAGTGAATTGACCGCGGCGCAAATGGCTGTAGAACATATCAATAGTAAGAAAATTTTACCTGACTACACACTGGAGCTCTTGAGTAACGACACACAGGTGAGTATATGGGAATAAGGAGTAAATGTGAGTTAAAAAGTTCGGTTTTACTGTTCAATGGAGTAGAACTACAATAGTAGAGGTAACAAAAAATTAGACAAAGCTATTTAAAATTGTTATTGTCTTCAAACTAATTTGCTTGATCTTCAAATACAATAGAATTGGTATGGTTGTTTGTATCTAAATAGATGTTTTGCTTGTAAAAACTTATCCACCCGTACCGCAGTCGGCATGTAAGGATTTGCAAATAATTGAACAATAATTTATTTGCAAATAGCCAAAATTTGCCAAAACATTAAGCTTTCGCTTACTTTAACCTAGCAAGAATTCACATATACATATAAGTGTGTAAATTCATAGAAACTTTGATCTATAAAATTCTATAAAAATGCTTCCTGGCTCAAATATTTTGTTGGGTTAGGTTAGGTCCTAAGGCTGATCCTCATATTAGGGATAGTACGTGGACTGCTATATACCGTTTTTTAACGACTTAAGGAATTAAATCTTGTACGTAGACAAAGCCTGTTGAGCCTATGATAAATCTGTTTTGGCGTTTTATATTCTATTATATTCCCGCTAGCTCACATGGTTGCCTGAAGGTAGTGTGGAAATATATATTATATTTTTTTTTATTATACCTCGTGTTCTTTCAAACAACTTCTTCAGTTGGCATCCATAGCGAAATATCCCTACAACTAGGGAGCCTTGCTGAGGACCTAAAGCTTTCTCAGCGTTTTGATCTAATTTGAGCTAGAAGGATCTCGCGACCACGCATGTACTAATGGTTGATCGCCAAGCTCCCGTGAGGCTCAGTTATCAAGTAGCAAAATGCGGGAAGACAGCGGAGCTGCAACCCGCTCCCTTTCTACTATCGCGGCTGAGGAATAATCAAATTTACAGTTACCTATAATTTTGCTACAGGCTGGTGTCCATATTAGTCTTATCGATAAGTATCTAATGTTGACGAATAATTTCCGACAATAGTCTTTTCCACTAACCATCCTGTTAACGCTTCCAACGGCCTTCCCATTCCCGGTTTCTCTTAGAGCAACTTTCGTGACCATACACCTTTTGGCTAAGTCAACGGGTATTGAGTGCGGTGGTTCGTGCGATTCACAGATGCAACCTTCTTCGCAAGTGTAGCTTATTTTGGTAAGAGAACCCATCTTTTGCCAATAGCTCCTAGTCAGTAGAACAATCGATGCATTTGTTGCTCTCTTTGTGATATTAGGATTCAATATTAGTTGACCGTACTAAAAATTATCGCCAATCTTATTAAAATATATATTTCTCTATTAATGAAGATATCTTTAATGTGTATAAATCAGATCATAAGTGAAACATCTTTATGCAACTAGCTTTCTGTCAATGTCTCTGGCTTCTTTATGGTAAAAAATGGAGGAAACGTTGTAATTTTTAATGGTAAATACAATATATTTTCCCTAGGCGCATTTTCAAATAATCTTATCAGTCAGGGTAAATATTAAAGCAAAATATCAAGGCAATATTCTACAAAAGTTTAAGAGGCTGTTCGGTATTTAATATGTATATGAAAGAGATCACGTACTCAAAAAGAAATTAAGAAAGTATTTCCAGGTATGTAAAATTATCATTTGATATTTACTCGTTAATGCATTTATGCTCACATAAATCCATATAATAGTTGAATTTCAAGTAAATATGGAAAAAAATTGTATACTACTAGCCTAATAAGTTGTCACTACAAGACATTAATAACTGAAATCAAATTAGTCCAAAAAATAATCTCCTGGGAAAAAATTAACATCAGTAGTTCTACAAGGATAAAAGTTTTACTTCATTTTGGAAAGACCAAATGATGTTTTTACGAGTAATTTGTTTTAACAAATTTAAATTATAATCATAACAAGTAACGAAGGACTAATTTCGGGTGTAACCGAACATTTTATACTCTTGCAACTTGCAAGGGTCAAGGATGGGGAAATATCTTCAAGTGTTCAAAACCTCATATTATTTCGGGTGTAGCTAAACATTTTATGTGTGCAGGGATACTTCAAAGGCACCATTTGTGCATTGGTGCTTGATTTGTGTACTGAAAAGTGAAAGAATTATAAGGAATTTAAAATTGTGATATATGGGAACCCGATTGCGCCCATTTTCACAACTAATATACATCAACCATCAAGGTAATGTTATGTACTCAATTTGGTTGAAATTGGTCGAGCAACCCCGATTCATATAAAGCATTCTTGCGTCATCATGGGTGTAAAATTTAATTTATTATTTTTTGACTTATCGCGCTTTAACTAATTTTTAACAAACCCGTTATATGGGGAGTTGGCGGGGTCATCATCTGATTTCACCTATTTTCACACTGTCGTAAAGCGTATTGTAAGGATTTGTCCTGTGATATAGCCTGAATGGTTTGGGAGATATGTACATAAACCTATTAGGGGGCGTAGCCCAATTTTTACAAAATTTGTAGCTAATATGTGCCCTTTGCTGCTGTAATCTCTTGTATCAAATTACAGTTTTATATCTTAATTGAATATTATAAGTTTTTGATTAATGGCGTTTTGCGAGCGTGACAGTGGTCCTTTTACAGCCATCTGCGAACTCGTCGTCGTCGGATTTTCGGCATTAAACTAAAGTATAGCCAATATTATATGTTCAGTTAATTTTGTTAAGATATCTTACATATTGTTCAATATATAACCGGTATAAGGTCAACCGGAAGTTTGAAAATTCTTTATTAGGTATATGATAGATAGGTGTAGTACTGACCCGATTCGATTAATGTTTGGCATACAGTTTTACTATTATCAGGAGAGAATCCTTTTAAAATTTCAATCTTACCTATATCGCACACATTGACCGATATTTACAGTAAAAATCAGCCATAAGCTCTGGGGTCCACATTTCCGGTGTATTGGGGCTTGAATTGTTATGGTCCGATTTGGACAATTTTTAGACCTGAGATGGCATACCTGTTTTATCCCTATATAATAGTTGGAGCTTGATTTGTATACTGGAAAATGAAAGAATCATATGCAATTTAAAGTTGAGTTATATGGGAAATAGGAGTGGTTGTAGTCCGGTTTCGCCTATTTTCGCACTGTCATATGGTAATGTCAAAGTAATAACTACTAAGTACCAAATTTGGTTGAAATTGGTCAAGTAGGTTCGGAGATATGTGATTTCACCAAAATGTGGCACTTTATAGGTTTTCGTGTAATGACGTCTTGTGGGTGTGGAGTGGTTCAATTACGCCCATCTACGAGCTTGTCCTCACTTTTTTGCCAAAGAACACATGTACCAAGATTCATTAAGATATCTTAACTTTACTTAAGTTATCACTTGCTCAGACGGGCGTACGGACAGATGGACAGACGGACTCACTCGGAGTTCAACTCGTATCCTCATTCTTATCATTTATATAAGTATATGGTATATAACCCTATATCTTACTCAATTATTTTTAGGTGATACAAAAAACTGTTGGTGAAGAGAACTACCATCTCACACTGTATAGCAACATGTTGCAAAAGTATCAAAGTCTGTCGATTGTAATATCGTAGAATAATCATACAAAAAATATTTTTCTTATATGGGCGAGATTTAGTTGGCTAATTGAGCAATCTTACAACTACTACAACCGTCAGTGTAGTAGTTGTAAGATTGTTTACAACTAGTCCGTTTTAGTTCAGGGACATGTACATGTATAACATATTTGTATAGGTAAACTTAGAGACAATTCAGTTAGTTTATTTAAAACAAACTTTTAATGGGCTAACTAAGTTAAGCGCTTGATTATGAAATCGCTTAAACGCACATACTAGAAAATTAGAAAAGAGTGGTGATAAGTGAAGGAGCTTCAGCACAAGCAGTTGTGTCTGATAAACTGCTGAGGAAATATATGCACTCTTTTTAGGTTAAAGTGAAATTGATTTATATATAGTCATAGTAGAAGGAAGAGTGTAAAAACGAACGATTTTTGTGAAACCTTTATTTCTATTGTTGATAACTGACGACCTGCTGATACTGGTTAAGGACATTTTTTTCATTGCGAAACTAAATTGCAGATTTAAATTTATACTCACTTTCAATTTTTACAACTTTTTATGCTTCCAATACCTTCTAGGTTTTATAACTTAACTTAAGTTCGGTCCAGTTGTTGGCAGTAGAGGGCCAAATTGAGCGTTTGGCCCCAGGGGAGCAGCTCATAGTAGATGATTCCTTGCCAATCCCACCAAACACACACCAAAACCTTTCTGGCCGTCAATCCGGTCTTGGCCACCGTCTGGGCCGCTTTTCCGAGCTTTGACCACGACCGTTTGCGCTCGATGTTGTCGTAAGTGACTCATTTTTCATCGCCAGTCACAATCCGCTTCAGAAACGGGTCGATTTTGTTGCGATTCAGCAGCGATTCGCAGATGGAAATTCGGTCCATCATGTTTTTTTGCGTTAGTTCGTGTGGCACCCAAACATCGAGCTTCTTTTTGAATCCAAGGTTATGAAAATGGTTCCAAACGGTTTTCTGGCTTATCTTTAGTTCCTCAGCAATTAAATGAGTGCTCACGTGGTGGTCTGTTTCCACTATTTCCACGATTTTATCGCGATTTTCGACGACAGGCCTCCCGACGCGTGGTGCATCTTTGACATCGAAATTACCAGAACGGAACCTAGCAAACTATTTTTGTACTACACGTTCGTTTACAGTATCGGGCCCATAAACAAAATTAATTTTTTCAGCCGATTTGGCTGCTTTTTCGCCTTGATCGAAGAAAAATTGTAAAATATAGCCAATTTTCTCTTTGCTCTTCACTCACAACGTACTGAGTCAATCAAAAAAACTGTCAAAGACAAACTTTTAGCGCGAATAAACACTTTTTAGCGCCGTATAGTATGCGTATATAGTATGGCATGATATATTATATTATATAAATGCACATGTATTCTATAAATTCCGAAAACTGTGTATCTGCTAATATAATATGATCATGGATACTGGGAGAACATTCCTATTACATACTGTATATGTAAAACCAATAGGTAGAGCCAAAATGGGACTATGGGAAAAATGGGGTTTTATGTTTCGATATATCTCATACGGAGGCGAATGATTATCAAAAGTCGTATCAATGGTCTAATTTTGTTCACTTAATTATGACGGTAACGTAGGAAAGTTTAAAGATAAGGAGCTTCTGAGGCGCGTAATATTTCGGTCTTCATTTCCCATAATTCTGAGTACCCTACAAAGAAACAATCTTTATATTAATATTATTTCAATATTCGTGCTTGAGCTGATGCTTTCTGGTAAAAGACAACATAATTAAAGGATTCAAATGTTTTAAACAAGACTGTGCACATTTTAGGGGAGGAAAATCTCAGATAAGTGACTTAAACGCAATTTAAGCATGCACAATTTTGCATTGATACTCGAATTTGTTGGGAGGTAAGGACAGGCAATACTACTTGTATTTATATAACAAACCACCTGTATATATAAATACATACTCGTATGTATATGTATACTCATTCGCAACAGCATCTCAACATAAATGCATACATACATATCTAAGTAGACACATATGTATGCATATACATACTATGTGTGTATAAGAATCTAAGGATATCCATACCTAATGAAAGGAAATCTCGTTTCGAGTTTTATTGTACAAATCTATATAAAATATTCATGGGACACAATGTACTCTACTGTTTAATAGCCTGAGCAAACTTTCTTTAACGAACATTTAGTCGCTTTAAGTGTGACATGCTGAAAATATTTTCAGTTAAATATACAAACATTTATATATGTACATACATGTATGTGTACAATAAGTATAATTAATACAACATTTTTATTGCTGTTGCTAATAGTTTTTGTTGTTGTATAATAGTTTTGTTCACTTAATGGATGTTTGTATCAGAAGCGGAGAATAATTTGTTGATTTAAGCAAGAGCTCGTGTCTAATTTCGTGAAGATAGCTCGTCAAATAAAAAAATTTTCCATGCAAGCAGTTTACTCCGATCGTTCAGTTAATATGGCAGCTACATGTCATAGTCATCCGATCTATACAATTTCTTCGGCGATTAGATTATTGCCTGAAATAATAACACATGCCAAATTTCGTACCTCGTCAAATGAAAGAGTTTTCCATACAAGCACTTCATTCCGATTGTTCAGTTTGTATGGCAGCTAAATGCTATAGTCACCCTATTTGAATAATTTCTTCGAAAATTAAATTGTTGCCTTAAATAATAATCCGTGCCAAGTGAACATACCTCGATAAATGAAAGAGTTTCCCATACACTTGATTCCGATTGTTCAGTTTGTGTGGCAGCTATATGCTATAGTGGTATCGGTCGTTCCGACAAATGAGCAGCTTCTTTGTGAGAAAAGGACAGGTGCAAAATTTCAGATCGATAGCTTAAAAACTGAGGGACTAGTTTGTATATATACAGACAGACGGACAGACAGACATGGCTAAATCAACTCAGCTCATCATGCTGTTCATTTATATATATATTTTATAGGGTCTACGACGTTTCCTTCTGGGTGTTGCAAACTTCGTGGCAAACTTAATATACCCGGTTCAGGGTATAATGAAATAGCGTGTTTTACTTATAAAAGTGGATCTTAACAATCACTAATAACAGAATTTTCGAACATGCGACTGTCTTTACTCCAAATGATTGGTGATGGTATATGAGGTAACTTATTGAAAACCTGTGGCAATTTATTAGCCTGTGGTACATTAGTAGTATGTGGTATTGGCAAATATTGATAAAATCGGGTCAATACTACCCGCAAATCCCATATACTATTAATAATTACTTTCGTTATTCAAATTTCATGCCAAATATGTCGGTCAGTGAGTATTATTTATATATGTTTCCAAATATGTTCAAAATTAATGCAATCACTTTCTCGATCGCCATTATACCCTATATAATGATTTCCGCCTTTCCACTTGACTTGTTTAATTCTTGACATTTTTTAATATAAAATTTTGCCAACACCTGAAGGGCTTTGATTCTTACAAGTTGCAGGAGTATACAATTTACTTGTTTTAATATTTGGTTGCCTAAATTGGAGATGATTTTTTTCAAATAGCGGGTATAACATAATACATATAAACAATTTCTACGATATATGTTTACATAAGTATATGTCTATGTCTGTGTATAAACAATATATTCTCTTTACTTTGCAATTCTCTGTCCGAATGCTTACCCGTCTGGCTTAGTGTGATCCCGGTGTTGGAGTTGATCGATTTTTTCATGCCATCTATACGCAACCTGACACACGTATGATTATGCTGCTGGGCTCCGCATGTTCGGAGGTGACTGAAAGCTTAGCCAAAGTGGTGCCGCACTGGAGTATTGTGCAGGTAAGAAATCTTGAAGGCATTATATGTATGTATGTAGTAAATACATCACTGAATTATACATTGGAAAGTTTCCGGAAATTGTCATTCAAACTACCCATGCTGAATATTTTTCAGCACTTTTTTTTGTTAAGTTGGTAGCACTGTCTTTAATTACTACGCCGAAAATGAGCGCGATCTGTCAACCAGTTTGTTTGCAGCAGCTGTTGAAATCAGTCGACCTTAATATTAATTTGCGATTTTTACAATGGAAAAAAATATTGAACAAAGAACTTGCATCAAATTTTGTGTTTCAAACCAATTTCGTGTGCGGAATCGTTGCGAATGCTTGGCTTGTTCCAAATGAGCTGCATTTTTTGCAAAAAGGCCATCGTGTGCGACGATTTTAAGACCAAAAATTCGTTCAATACCATCGATCAACTACCGTATTCACCGGATTTGGCCCCATGCAGTTTTTTTGTTTCCACCTCAAGTTACCACTCCGGAGGAGCCCGTTTCGACTCGATTGAGGCCGTAAAAGAAAATTCGCAAAAGGAACTAAAGGCAACCCCCCAAGACAAGATTATAAATTTTTCGTTTCCGGAAACTTTCTGGTCACAAGGTACATAAATATCACTGTACTTTTACTTGAGGTCAATTAATCTTATTATTCTTATTTGATAAATGAAATTTGTACAAAAAGTTGAATTTTAAGCTTTATGATTTGATAAATGTTCTAATAAAATAAAGAAATAGTCTCAAATGCTCGAGTTATCTTTAGGGAAATTCTAAAGAAAGTTAGTAGCCTGTAAAATTATTAAAAATGGGTCTGTCTTTTTGAAGCGGTACCGAAAATGCCGATGAAGTGTTTAAAAAATGAATATATCGATTGGACTCTTACCGTTATTGGAGATAATTTTTTAAGATATGTTCCAGAGAAGACACTTCGATAAAAGATAATCTTATGGATATAAGTTATTCAGAAGACTACTCGTTTTATTGTTGTTGTTTAATTAATTTGACGAATGCCACCAAGTTGACAGTGTTTGACCTGTTAAAAACCGAATTCTTTTCGGTAACGTAAACCCAACTGATGTGGGAACTAAAAATTTGATTTTTGTTTTTTAATCACGATGTTGTACGCGAAAAAAATTTGTATTCTAAAATAAATTATTTTTAATACCCTTTTATTAGCTTAGGTTGTATGTATGTAATGGAATCTTAGAGCTCAATTTTCACCGGTTTCCAGAAGTCTGATCAACTTGAAACTTTGCAGACGTGTCAAGAACCGATGACAATGCAATAAGTTGATAACAGTTTTCCATTACTTTAAAGGTGGGTGTAACCCCGCCCCTAAATGGTTCAATGTCTATATCATCCAAACCGCTAAAGCTCAACCAAATTTGCTGAGAGACCCTTTTTCATATGCTGTGAAAATGGACAAAATCAGATAATAACCACGCCCACTCCCCATATAACAGTTATGTAAAAGTATACTAAAAATATACTTTTATTTGGTTTTGTTTAATCCCGTATTTGGGATTGCAAAATAAAAAAACTTAATTCAAATGTTAACTCATATATTTTTTTAATGCATTATTTGCAACCCTGGTTATGTGTAATCATCATACGTTTTTCTGACTATCGAACTCGTACCACCGACATTTAATATTGTGTTTTTAAATAAGTATTTGTATCCATCAGCAATATATTTTTCATTTATCAAAAATTTATCGAAAAAAGTATCAAAATATATTCTAGTATAGTCTAACGAACTTCATCCATTTTTAAGAACACTCTATATTGATACATGCAATGTGCCAAATTAAAATTTGTTGCAAAACCAAACTAACTTGTCCAAAAATTTAAAAGGAAACCATAGGGCACAAATATATACAAGTATTATATAAATAAATATATATTGTATCAATTTGTAAAACTAGCTGTCCCACTAACACAATATGATTGGCATTTCTACGTATTATAAATACATACATACGTACATATATTTATGAACAGCAACCTTACCGCCACGCACACATACAAATTACAGATATATATATGCATATGTATGTAATAAAGTATAACCGAAAGTCGTTTTTTTTTTGGTTATATGTGCCCACAGGTTTCGTTTGGTTCCACTTCACCAGCGCTCAGCGACCGCAAGGAATTCCCCAACTTTTACCGCACCGTCGCACCAGACTCATCGCACAACCACGCGCGTATTGCTTTCATACGTTTCTTCGGTTGGGATACCGTTACCACATTTTCCCAGAACGAAGAAGTCCACTCATTGGCTGTCAATGATTTAGTAACTGAACTGGAGGCGGCAAATATCTCGTGTGCGGCAACCATTACATTTGCAGCGACAGATTTCAAGGAGCAACTATTACTGCTACGAGTAGGTAGAACTATCGACATATGTTTTGCGTCTGTAGGTACATAAACCGCAGACACAAATTTGTACGCATACACATACCGTTCTATATATTTATTGTGGTGATAATTCCCATAAGCTTATCAAGTTTGGGTTTGATTTCTGTGCTTTTGTTGGGTATATAGACTTACATAGTATATGTACGTGTGGGTGAGTTTTAGTTTATATGGATATAACATCTATATTTGACTGAGAGCTTTTTCATATACACTCGAGTTTTAAAAGCAGTTTGTAATTAATTATGGCCAATCGCACTCATACTTAAATTCTGAAATTATAATATTAGCGGATGGACATCCCAATTAGGCGTTGGAAGCCCAAGCGAACATCTACTATTTCTTATTTTTTTATTTTTCTTGTCTACTGGAATTTCATAAGAAGCTATTTTCTTTTCAGATATGTGTTCAGCAGATTGCCTTAACTATAGATACATTTTTTTATAACTTTATAACTTTATTGAGATTTTTACCCGTATTAGAACTTTGTAATCGTAGTGGTGCCACTTTCTATAAGAATTGAAGGTCGTACAAAGTTGTGCCAACCTTATCCCAAAGCCAAAAAGCATGGAGAGACTCTTCCAGACGGCCAAGGAAGACATCATAACAAAAGTCCATTTTCTCATATTGACAGACTACTGATTGAACATGTTACAGATTGCTGAGGCATTAGAAATTTCAAAAAACGTGGGTATGGGGAAACTATTGACGCGATGTGTGCCGCGTTTCCTATCTTCGAACAACAAACTCAACTACTACTCAGCAGTGTTTCTACATGATTTACACTATTTTTTACACTAGTGCACATCAGGGGCTAAGTAACAGTGAACTTCACCAGGGAGAATGCTCTAAACATAGCGAAGTATGTGATATCGGCCGAAAAGGAATCGTTCCCGTTTTCTGGTATTGCAGATGAGCGTAAAGGAAAACTTATAAAATGACATAATTGAACACTTAATTAAGATACATGACAGTAATTTGGTACAGGGGTTCGCAGTAACAAGGAACATCTATTGGCAAACTTTTTTTTTATGTGAGTGTAGCCCCGCCCTCCTAAATGGTTTAATGTACATATCTCCCAACTGCTGAAGTTAACACAACCAAACTTGCTGGGAAGCATAAAAGGACTTCTTGCGCTTCTTCATATACTGTGAAAATGGGTAAAATCAGATAATAACCACGCCCACTCCCCATATAACGGTTTTGTTAAAAACTACCAAAAGTGCGATAACTCGCTGAATATGCTGTGCAAGAGTTTTATAGGGCTTAGGTGAACTCACTACCAGACGGATTTCAACTAAACTTTGTGAATGAGGTTACCCAACCATTGCTATTAGACACTGATTCTTTGACTTCCAGTACACAAATAAAATACCAATTATTTAGGCATATGCCCAAAAATTGTCGAAATCGGGCTATAACGGTTTAAGGACCCAGACACCAAATATCTGAACCCTATTGCATTTGGCTGATTGTTTACTAAACATATTGGTCAGTATGTGAGGTCAAATATTGAAATTCAGAGAGAATATTTGTGAGATTACAGCATGCCCTTGTGCCAAAAAACGGGTAAAATCGGGTAAATACCTCTCTTAGCCCACTTATACTTAATATAAAGTTTTTCGACTTCCGGTTGATTTCTATTGGTCAACATATAGCTGCCATACAAACTGAACGATCGGTATGGAGTGCTAGTATGGAAAACTCTTTCATTTGACAAGGTATTTTTACGAAATTTGGCATGAATTATTATTTAAAGCAGCAATGTAATATCCGAAGAAATTGTTCGGATCAGATATATCATATAGCTGCCATACAAACTGAACGATCGGAATCAAGTGCTAGTATGGAAAACTCTTTCATTTGACAAGGTATCTTTACGAAATTTGGCATGAATTATTATTTAAAGCAGCAATGTAATATCCGAAGAAATTGTTCGTATCAGATATATCATATAGCTGCCATACAAACTGAACGATCGGAATCAAGTTCTTGTAAAGAACCTTTTGTATTTGTCAAGGGTTCGGTACAACCGAAGTTAACACACCCAATCACTAGGAAAGGCCAATCTATAAACTTCTTTACAACATTGTGTGAACGAACTCATAACAAATTCAAAGACGCGATATAAAATCGATAAATCTGTAGTAAATGCTTGCAATTTCAACACATACTTGTTCATTCCCCAACTTTTTTCATTAATCTGCATTGCTGAAATAAAAATATACGATTCAATATACATACCTATATTTTCATCATTTTGTTATATTTCCATTTCTTTTCACAAACCACTGACCGCACTGCTGTAATCGAACGAATCGAACATCGACAATTTACGTTGACAATTGTCAACCGCCTACAAAACGCCATTTTTGCTGCGCGCAAAGGAAACGGATACGCGCATTATTATTGGCAGCTTCTCGCAGGATTTAGCACCACAAGTGATTTGCGAAGCATTCCGGCTACGCATGTTCGGCGCGGATTACGCCTGGATATTGCACGAAAGCATGGGCGCGCCTTGGTGGAACGACCTATCGGCCACGGGAACCAATTGTACAACGAAGGAACTGCAGGATGCCGTCGAGAATTTGCTGATCATTGCCAGTCACAATAGGATTGTGGGAAATAAGACCAGCTACAGTGGATTGGTAAGTCGATTATAGTAACAAGAACAACACGAGTAATAACACTACTATGTAACGATATTTATTATGAGGAAAAATGAAAACTGATTTCGCGAACCGTGGGATGTCGAGCAGCAGACCTGTGCCTGTAAATCGTTTTGCCTACGTATTGACAAGTATGCATGTGTGTGTGTCCAGCTATACATATTTATGTGTACTTGACGTATTTTCGGCGATTTATAGGTTTTTCCATGCTGGTTTGTCCATTGATTGTTTACTTTATGGCAAATTGGTCTGCAAATTTGACGGCACGAAAAATGATTTATTTGATTAGACTATTTCGTTCTGGCAAATGGATTTGTGCTAAATGAGAATTGGAATTCAAAATGTGTGTATTTATTTAGCAATAAAATAAGTTTAGTCACACTTAATAAATTTGCTCGATAAATTTTTTAAAGTAGTTGGTGAATTGTAGAAAAAAATAAATGTGTTCTTCTTTTGGAAATGAATAAATATAGTTTAAAAAAAAACTAAAGACACACGCTTTTAAAGAATATCGAACTAAAAAGTTGAAAATAATTTTAACAAGTAAGGAAGGGCTAAGTTCGGATGTAACCGAACATTTTATACTTTCCCAAAGTCAAATGGTATACTCGTTTAAGATTTCTTTGTGGATTGACTGATATTTTCGGTAGAAGGTCAATTATAGGCACTGGGGTCCACATATTTAGTACTTAGGGGCTTGAACAGTTTCGGTTCGATTTAGACAATTTTTGGTCACAAGGTGGCATATTTTAATCGCATTATTCACGCAAAGTTTTACCCCGATACAATCATTGTTGCTTGATTTGCATACTGGAAAGTGAAAGAAACAAATATAATTTAAAATAGTGTTATATGGGAAATAGGCGTGGTTGTAATCCGATTTTGCCCATTTTCGCACTATAACATAGAAATATGAGAGGAATGTTATGTACCGAATTTGGTTGAAAATGGTTAAGCAGATCTCAAGATATGGGTTTTCACCTAAAAGTGGACTGTGCCACGCCCACTGTCTAATTTTGAACACGGTTCCTATAAAGTCATCTCATACCATCCCAGAGATAATATTTGATGTCTCTGGCGTGTTTAGTGCTTGATTTATCGCGCTTTTAGTAGTTTTTAACAGTACTGTTATATGGGGAGTGGGCGGAGTTGCCACCCGATTTCAACTATTTTCACACTGTAGATAGAGGTTCTAAAAGCATTTGCTTCCAGTGAATTTTGTTATTACAGCATTAGGAGTTTAGGAGATATGCACATTAAACCTGTTTGGCGCGGGACCACGCCCACTTAAAAAAACTTTTAACCGCAGATGACCCTCCCTAATGTGATCCTGTGTACCAAATAAGAGACTTGTATTTTTTTTTTTGTAAAGGAGAGTTACAAACAAACGTACTGGCATACAAATGAAGCTAACAAAAGCGTGTTAAAAATAAATTTTCGTAAATACTATGTATTTGGTGGGTGCAATTAATAATAGATACAATTATTGCACAACAGAAAATGGAGGACATTTTAAATAAACATTTTAAAATGCAAGTGACATTGGAGGCATTTTTTTTCTATTTAAAAATAAAGACACGTAAGGAAGGACTAGGTTCGTTCAACACCGAATATAAAATAATCTCCCAAACTATGCAAATTTAACCTTAGAGTCTCAAAGGCGTTGCAATAATTTTAGTTTATTAATTTAAGTGATAATTGGAAAGATCCCTTCGACAGGCCTGAAGTAAAAGACTTGGACATAATTTAATTAAAAGCTATATTTTATTTGGTTACTTACTTACTTTAAGTGTGGAAAAACGCAGGTGAAATTTATGAGCTTCTCAAAAAACTTAATATTTCGAGAATGTTTGTTTTTCGCACCTTGGGTTTGGTTCTTCTCTATATAGACCATTGATGAACTAATATGGTAGATTTAAATTTTTAAAATCAATAAATATTTGTATTATTATTATTGACATTAATTTAATATATGAAATTAATGACATCCGCATACTTACTACATGGTGAGTAAAACGAACTGAACCTATTTTCAGTACCATTATCATAACATTATAATAATTTTTATTTTGTCAGCTAATTTTCTATATGATATTCAGTCAATCAGATATTTCCCGGATAAGTTCTGGATCGATTGGTGACAAACTATCACTATAGTTACGGTTTAAAGGAGTTGAACGATTTTGAATAGTTTACTGTCCTGCTAACCGACTTGTCCTGCTAACGCAGAAGGGCCGACAAGTTGAGGCAATTAAGCTGACAAAATTTCTGAGAGCATATAACAGGAAGCTGCACTTCGCATCAGCTATTATACCCACAATATCTAGCTCGAAACTCTTCTTTGAACCATTACATTGATGTAAAATTTTATATTAAACAAGTAAGGAAGGGCTACCAAATGTCTTCAGGTGCTAGTAAAACTTTATATTAAAAAATGTTGTGGAAGATTTAAACATCCATTATTGGAGGAAGTCTTGAATAAATTACAATCAAATTTGGTATCTTTCTTGACTTAGATCATTACCTTAAACTCAATTTTATTGCTATAGCGTCAGCTAAAATTATATTAAAAACATTTTCAAATCAGATATATGTGATATCAATTCAACCGAAGAGGCTAAATTTAATATATATTGAGTTGATATGGAAAACGTCAATCAGAGGATTTATTTTATTATGGATATGCGGCTTATACCAAGGTCTAGACTAATTCCATTCTAAATTGGCGCTAAACCATATCTTTTTAAAGAAAACTTGTCCATTTAATTTCATTAAAATATAACATTTTGAGCAACCTGAACGGTGTAAAGTCAGGTGGAAAGACGGAAATCTTATAGGGTCTATAGGAGGCAGAGCAAGGGATGGGTTGACTGCATTAATTTGGACATTGCTCAGGTATACTTGAGAACATATTCACCATAAAACTTGTTAGAAAAACGAAAATCATTATATGTAATAAATGGGCATTGGGGGGTATAGTAGTGACCCAATTTTATTGAGATAACTCTCATATTTGCCAACATATTCGGTATAAAGTCACCCGAAAGGTCGAAGTATAGACTCCACTCAACCTAATTTTGATATTCAGACATCCTGTTATTAGGAAAGGATTCTCTCCGAAATTCAGTTATTTATCATACATATTAACCGATATTTTTAATAAAAAGTCAACTATGGGCACTGGAGTCCACGAATCGGTACCTAGGGGATTTAACATTATTTATGCAAAGTTTTACCCCTATGCATTCATTGATTTGCAAACTGGAAAGTGAAAGAATCAGATGGAATTTGAAAATGTGTTTTATGATAAGTAGGCGTGGTTATAGTACGATTTCCTCCATTTTTGCAATGTAATATAGGAGTCAGAAGAATGATATGTATCGAATATGGTTAAAATCGGCCGAGATATGTGATTTCACCTAAAAGTGGGGTCCCACGCCCATCGTTCAAATTTGACACCTGCCCCTATAAAGCGCTCTTGTTAGTTCCTGGGAGTAAAATCTAATGTCTCTGACGGACACTTCTAGTAATTTTTAACAAAAGCATTTTATAGGGAGTGGGCGTTTTCATCCGATTTCACCTATTTTCACACCATCGTAAGAAGGGTTGAAAAAATGTGTCTTGTGGATGATATAGCTTAATTGGTTTGGAAGATATATACATTAAACTTATTATCGGGGGGTGCCACGCTAAGTTTTTAAAGATTTTCAAACCGCATTTGCCACTCCTTAGTGTGATTTGTTGTGCAAAAATTGAATTCTCTATCTTCATTTACGGCTTAGTTATGCCCCTTTATACGTTTTTGATTAATAGAGTTTGTGGGAGTGGCAGATCGTCGATTACGCCCATCTAGCAACTTGTCCTCACTATTTTACCAAGGAACACGGGTATTAAGTATTAATATATATTAATTTTTACTCAAGTTATCGCTTGCACAAACGGACGGAAAGACGAACAAATAGACAGTCGCTCGGATTTCAAGTCGTCTCCTCAATCTGATCACCTATATGTATATATAACCCTATATCTAACTCGATTATTTTTAGGTGATATAAAAAATGTTAAAAAAATGGCACTATTTTGAAAAAAAATTTAAATGAAACAAGTAAGGAAGCTCTAAGTTCGGGTGTAACCCAACATTTTATACTCTCGCATCTTGCAAGGATCAAAGCCAGGGAAATTCCTTCAGGTGTTAGCAAAATTTTGTATTAAAGGAAGTATTGATCTGATTCAACCAATTCTTAACATGATATGAATTTAAATTATATATCTTACACATAGGCCGATATTTATTTTTGTAATCCGATTTCGCCCATTTTCGCACTATAACATAGAAATATAAAAATAATGTTATGTACCGAATTTGGTTGAAATCGGTTAAACAGATCCCAGGATATAGGTGTTTTCACCTAAAAGTGGGCGGTGCCACGCCCACTGTCTAATTTTGAAGTCGGTTCCCATAAAGTCATCTCATACCATCCCACAGATATAATTTAATGTCTCTGGCGTGTTTAGTGCTTGATTTATCGCTCATTTTCCCACTGTCGATAAAGGTGCTAAAAAAAGTTGTTCTCAGTCAATTTTTTACTACAGCTTTAGCGGTTTAGTAGATATGCACATTAAATCCATTAGGGGGCGGGACCACGCCCAATTAAAAAAAAAATTTTAATGCGGATGCCCCTCCCTAATTTGATCCTGATACAAAATAACAGTCTTGTATCATATTGTGGAGCTTAGTTATGGCAATTTATTTGTTTTTGATTAATGGCATTTTGTGGGCGTGGCAGTAGTTCAATTATGCCCATCTGCAATACCAATCGTCTTACGGTACCAAGAAACGTGTGTGCCAAGTTTCATAAAGATATCTCAATTTTTACTCAAGTTACAGCTTGCACAGTCTCTTCATCTCGATCGTTTATATTACATATATATATGACGGTGATACAAACAACCGTTAGGTGAACAAAACTATTACAATCTGTAGCAACATATTGCGACAGTATAATAAATTCAAAACTCGATTTTGTAATAGCAGGTATTATTGCTTTTTAATTCCTAAATAAATATAGCAGAGGAAAAAATTATTTAACGCAACTAAAATGTCGTCTTATCGGTATGTAGAACATATTTAGGATATCCGTTAGTATATTGTTGTATAGTAATTTATTTCAAGGGTTGCGTTATATTTTCTTTCAAAAACGTTTGTTTTAGTAGTCACGCCATATAATTAAGGTTTCATAATATCGACATTACCACAACTATAATTTAAGTAATGAAAGAGTTTGATAATTTCTGTTTTAATAGTCATACCTATGATGAAACATGCATATTCTGAAGATAATTTTTAAATATTAGATATGATAAGAAATACGAGTATTATTCATTCTTCAAGTAAAAATTTATGACGTATGCAATTTTATTCTTTATGATCAGAACAATGAAATGTTCTTGTCCCAATTACGTCAAAGGGCGAATGGTCTGCTTGATAACGGCAGTGTTGATAAACAACGAAACTCAAATGCGGCGCAAAGTCAGAAAACGATTTCATTAAGGGATAAAGTATTGAACACTAACGACATACCCACCCTAAACGCTATGGCCGTATCGACTTATGCACCTCAAACGTATGACGCAGTTTGGGCAATCGCTTTAGCGTTACGAGCTGCCGAAGAACGCTGGCAAAAGTTGGGTTTGCAATCAAAAATCAATCAATTCGATTATGTGCGAGCGGATATGGCACGGGAATTCCTTCAACAGATGGCGAAATTGGATTTTCTGGGAGTGTCGGTAAGTGAAGCGACAATTGAGTATTTTCCTTAAGAATTTTTAACTTTTTTTACAACAGATAAATGAAAACAAGTTGCAAAAAACAAAACGAAGTTACGTTCTATATAATATAATTGTACAATATTTTTCATGTGTGTGCCCTTTTTTTTTTTTGTTTAACTATATTTTCCTTTATCCTTCACTTACAACTTCCAGGGTCCAGTTTCGTTTAGTGGCCCGGACCGCATTGGCACAACCGCCTTCTATCAAATACAAAATGGCACACTCGCGCTCATTGCCCTCTACTACCCAGCAGCCAGTCGTTTGGATTTTCACTGCCCCCATTGCTGTTCGGTGCGCTGGCATAGCGGCCAGGTGCCCATCGCCAGACGGATTTTCAAAATGCGCGTCGCCACTATTGCGACGAGCGCCTTCTATACGATAGCCACGCTATCGGTTATCGGCATCATATTAGCTTTAGCTTTCCTCGCCTTTACGTTGCACTTTCGAAAAATGAAGTGAGTAGTCAGTTGTAGACTTTAACGTTCTGATAGTTTCAAAAAGTGCAAGAGCACTGCGAAATGGCAAATATGAGAGTGCAAGTTAAGTTGTCATAAAAGTGCTTGCCATAAACGTATATTTGAACCATTTCGCCGTTTTCTTTCATAGAAGGTAACACACACTTCAACAAACTCACTAACTTTCTATTTATCGTTTTTTTATTTTTTTTACAAAACAATTTTCCTTGGCTGAAGAGCAATTAAGCTCTCCAGCCCTAAACTGAGCAATATTTCTGCAGTTGGTTGCGTTTGTGTGTATGTCGCAGTAATTTTGCTCGGACTGGATTATTCCACATTACCCACTCCGGAGACTTCATATTCTAATGTTTGCACGGTGAGTATTGTATGACAAATACCCTGATCAGGTTATATTAAATTTAGCACGATGTTTGTAACACCCAAAAGGAAGAGTCAGAGACCTTATAAAGTGCATATACAAATGATCATCGTGACGAGCTAAGTCGATTTAACCATCTCCGTCAGCCCGTCCGTTTTTTTGAGATATTAATCTGAAATTTAGTACCTGTCGTTTTCTCACTAAGAAGCTGCTGATTTCTCGCAACGGCTGATATCGGCTTTTCCATTTTATGAGATATCTTCACGATATTTGGCTTGGGTTATTGCTTAGGCAATGATGCAATCTCCGGGAAATAGTTTAGATTTTTCTTGTTTTAAATTAAACATCAAGTTAGTTTAGCACTCTTTGTTTCATTACTTTTAAAAGTTTGGTTCCCCTAACGGTTGTTTGTATCACCATATACATATATAAGTGATCAGAATGACGAGACGAGTCAAAATCCGGATGACCGTGCAAGAAAGGGCTTTATGGGGTTATAAAATTGGACAATTGGCGTGGTACTGCCACTTTTAAGTGAAATCATATATCTCAGGAACTACTTGGCCGATTTCAACCAAATTTGGTGTGTTTAATTTAGGTAAAATACCATCTGATTTTTTTTACAAATCAAACATCAACGAAGTTATTAGAATAAAACTTTGAACAAATTGTGTCCTCAAGGTATTTAAGCTCACACCCAAAAATTTTTGAAATCGGACTATAACTTTTCTAGAATCTAGGCAGCAAATATGTGGACACCAGTTCATATGGCTGATTTTTTGCCGAATATATCGCTTAGTCTGTGAGTTATATATTGAAATTCGGGGAGAATGATTTTGTGATAACAGCATGTCTTTCTGTCAAAAATGGGTAAAGTCGGCTCAATACTTCCCTTAGCCCCGATTAATCTATTTCTAATAATAGTGTAACGTCTTGTCTGTAATTGTAAATAATGGATGCAATACTTTCTATTTTTAATTAAAATATATATGAAAATCCCGTATATCACTACCTTGCGAGAATATAAAATGTTCGGTTACACCTGAACTTAGACTTTCCTTAATTGTTGCATTTAACTTTGCAAACAAATTAAAGTCAATTCTAAGCCAAAAAGCGCATTTGTTATTATTGCCCCAAAAATTAAGCTTTAAATTATTTGACCCAATACGAGAGATTTATTTTCATGTTAATAAATTTGTATGCAAAGCTGCAACAACAAGGAACGCCATCGGCCTAATTTGCATAGTTGAATATCTGAATAAACCATTGCTATCCACACAAACAAACAAACACAGTCACGCCGACATAAGTGAAAGTGTCACAAACAATATCAAATTTTAATTTGCACAACTTGTGGGACGCTGCCAACGAATTTGTGACAATTCGTTATTCGAGTTTTTTTCACTTTTCTTTCGAATGTGTTGTACATAATTCACAAACCTTTTATTTAATTTCTATCTTCCCACGCCCACCTTTGCAGGCACGTGTCTATTTGCTCTGCGCTGGCTTTTCACTGGCATTCGGTTCGATGTTTGCCAAAACATATCGCGTTCACCGCATTTTCACACGCACCGGCAGTGTATTCAAAGATAAAATGCTGCAGGACGCGCAACTTATAATGTTGGTATGTATACTGTTGGTTGTCGATGCACTCCTCGTCACCCTCTGGGTATTCGTCGATCCGATGGAGAGGCATTTGCACAATTTGACATTGGAAATCAACAGTATTGACCGAAGCGTCGTCTATCAGCCACAGGTGATTTTTAAAGTTAATACATACACATACATACAGAAGTATTTCGAAATAACGAGTATTAGTTTTACCGAAAACCACTTATAACGAACAAGCAAATTTTTTACATTACATTACGGAATTTGTCAGTACTCGGTTTAGCGAATAACATAGTGGTGAAAACAAAATACAAAAATGTAAAGACATGAAAAAAATGCAAAAGAAACATTTATTGTATTAATGTTTCTTTATGTTTTGTATTTCTTTCCTTTTCCACTAAATGTAAAGCAGGGCAGTTTTGTTGAATAGGATGATATTCCTATTTCGTCATTAATCCAAGATTAGAATACTTTGGCAATAAGGAATGGAGTTAAATTGTTGAATTCGGGTTTTCAAATGTAAATAACGATAAATTATATGCTTTCAAACAAATATTTTTTTAACATTTGCGGCTTCAATTTTCAGTCAGGGTTGAACAAAATTACATACAGGATTCCGATTAGGTTAATGATAAAGTGGAAAGGAATGACGAAAGTGATAATATATACCCAAAAATTAAACATAAAGGTGCAGAAAAATTTCGAACAATTTATCCAGTGGCCAAAGCATAAAAATGTCGATTTCATACAACTTATTGTATTGACTGAACTTCAGGAAGAAGCCGTCAAATTTAATCTTAGTATTCCAACGAAACAAACTACGATTAATCAATTTTTTAAACAGGTATAAAAACTTATATTACTGATTTAAAATTTTTTAATCTCATTTTCTTTTTAAGCACATTACTTCCTTTAAGGTAACATGCAAAAGCGCTTTGAATTGTTTCTTTTTGGTTTTTTTCTTTTTTAACAAATAATTTAATAAACAACAATTTTCGGATTCTTTACTAATTTTAATTGAAAAATATACCTCGCTAAGTATGATTTGGCGAAGTTAAGTTACAGCGATTGTTATCAGAGCTTGGTAACAAGCTCGTTTTGAGAGGACTGACAAAAATAGATAGAACAAACAACGATAGCTAAAAGACAAAAAATAATAATCTTCGTGGATAGTTATCTTGGTCTCAATTAGTTATATTTTTGAGGCGGGACTTGATAACGGAAATAGCATCAAATTTTACTGTGTAAATGCTAATAATGATTTGAAATAAATGTATTTCGCTAACAAATCGCCTGAAAAACAGGACATAATTGAAATTCTTTATATTAGATCAGTTATGCCAAGGAAGAGAGCCAAAATGGTGTGAATGATAAATAGGAGGCAAAAATTAGTATTATAGGTCGATAGGTCTTTTGAAACTCATTAATCGTCATTAATCTTGAAACCCTAATTTGTGGTTAACTCTAAATTTGCTGTTTAAGGTCAGGCTTAGTTTCCCCCTAACCATAAAATATAAAAACTTGGCAAAAGAAATTTATTACGAGTATTACATCCAAATAACATGGTCAAGATCATGCCCCCGAAATTCGCGACTATTATTGTATCTTACCTAGCGGGCTCGAATCTAGCTTATCTGTTGGCAGTTCACCGAGGCTTTAACAGTAACAGCCTTAAGATAAATACTAAAGATTGAGTATAGATCTGACCTCGCACAGTAAAAATTTTCTGGTGTGAAAGAAATACAAATATTTAATCAAACGGGTCAATTTTGCATTCAAGATTCTTACAAATGGTGGAGTTGGATGAAATAAATATCTTACTGAGAAATATTTTATTAATATTATTTATTATACAGTTTATTATTACAAAAACAACAAAACATTATAACAGATATAAAATTCTAACTTACTATTAAACCAGGTCGAAGTTTGTCGTTCGCAATACACTCAAGGTTGGCTGGGCGCTTTGTATGCCTACAAAGGACTGTTGCTTGTGGTCGGCGTGTATATGGCTTGGGAAACGCGTCACGTGACCATACCAGCGCTTAACGATTCGCAATATATTGGTGTTTCTGTGTATCTAGTAGTAATTACAAGCGCTATAGTTGTGGTTCTGGCCAACTTGATTTCAGAACGAGTTACACTAGCGTTCATAACTATAACATCACTGATACTGGCATCAACAACGGCAACATTGTGTTTGTCATTTATACCGAAACTTTATGATATTTGGGGACGAAGTAAGTATTTAGTAGAAGCTCTTCAAATGAATTGTTTATGTTAAGAAAAAATTTAGTTTGGATTGGTTGTGGGATGACTTGAATCAAACATCCTTTCTTTGTAATTTCCGATTATATCTTTTCTATACCTCAATAAGTATTGCGATGTACATACATTTCCTTGCAACAGACTTATATTGATAGCGTAATAATATTTTAGTTTCGAAATCAGTACTCAATGTAGTTCTAATTAAGAAATATAAAAGAGACTAACACTTTCTTTCACCTAAAAACAACATTAAGGTCCCATTATAATTTTTTGTGTTCAGATGTTGTTGTCGATCCAGTTATCCACAGCATGGGCTTAAAGATGGAGTGCAACACGCGACGATTTGTTATAGATGATAGACGAGAGCTACAATACCGCGTAGAGGTACAAAATCGCGTCTATAAGAAAGAAATAGCCGCGCTAGACCAAGAGATACGAAAACTTGAACGCATGCTTGAGTTTGGCACTGCGTCACCAGCTACATCTGCTTCCTCGTTAGTGGGAGGACAACAAAGGGTAAGTTTAAAAAATATACAATACTTTATATAAATTATAGAAATACCCCTTAGAAAACAATAACTAAATTGTCAATTGAAAGAACTTTTATTTATTAAACCTTGACAGACTGCTTTTAACTTTACTTAATATACACACTTTTATTCGGACAGCCTGAGTTAACCGTTACCAGCGACACATCTATATTTATCCCTCCGGTATTTCCTGCGTTGCCACCGAATAATAATAAATCACGCGCCCCCAGCATATCTGGTATACTGCCCAATCTTTTACTATCTGTTTTACCACCGGTAATACCGCGTGCCAGTTGGCCCTCCGCTGAATACATGCAACTTTCTATGCGTCGTTCCATTGCGTTCGCCTCCCAGCCACAGTTGGAAGAGCGTAAAAGCACTGCGACCTGTCTAGCCGCACAAGACCTATACAATCTTCGTATTGCCCACCGACAAGCAACGGAAACCAAAACAGGACTAATCAATCGTCTACGTGGGATATTTTCTCGTACAGCGTCAAGTAACAAAGGTTCCAGTGGTAGCCTTGGCGAGCAAAAGAGTTTGCGTACTGCATTTAAGTCGCATATGGGACTCTTTACGCGTCACGTACCCACCACGCAAGCAGCCTCTTGTAATGCCATTTACAATCAGACAAATCATAAAAATGAAGGTTCGAACGAGTCTAATGAGGCGCCACTTAAGTCTGTGAAGCGGTTGTCATTTGCTAAGAGCGGTACACATTTGGATGTTGCTACGCCTGACCCCAATTTTCTGCAAATACCAACAATATCGGCGGAAACACCAGAAGAGCCGACTCACATGGGTTTGATACTGCCACTCGACCAAAGCGAGTTGGAACGCATCGGTGTGGCGCGTTATACCAAAGCACACGAAACTAAAGTGAATTTCCAACTTCCTGCAAATCGGCGGACGTCCATTCTAGAACCTCAACCATCTATGAGAGTGCGTTGCTCACCACGTTTTCCACATCGCGTGGTGCCAACCAGCAGTCTGTTGTCATTAGAGGAGGCTGATGATCGGAGTAGCATAGCGCTGCTGGAACGTATACCGTTGGGGCGTGCGACTGTTGCTGGAACTTGGAAATCTATGGAAGTCACTACCGAATCAAAGTTGTCATTCAGTGTGACACCCAGCGGAAAAACTAGTACACCGACGTCAGGCGAAGTAGAAGATATAACCGAAATTGAAAATACAAAACCCATGAATTAGCATAACTAGCAGATGAAAACCTATTTTCCAGATTTGGTAGCCTCATATTTTAATTAGGTAATGAAATGAAGAGATGAGCATTCTAAAGTAATGCACGAAATATAACTTCCCGTTAGCTATTGTAGTTTCAGTTTTTAGTAAATAATACCCGTTAACAATTGCCGTTATTTCAAATTTTCTACCTGATACTTTTACACAGACAATCCTTTAGAATCTACATTTGTAAATAACTAGATAAGTAAAAAGAAAATGCCGTTTTAATGAACTCTAGAAACTATTTGTAAGTAGTGACTTTTAATGATAATACATATTAAAGAATTTTAGGAACTCAACAGCGTCAGTTAACTAAAAATTAGGTAGGAAAAACTACAAGTTGTAAATTGAGTATTGAAACTCAAGAACGATAAATTACAATATATATATATATATTATAATATATAAAGTAAATTACTGATTTATGTTGCCTTTTTAACAACTTTTATGAAAAATAACTTATACATTTCAAGCTCACAATTATTTTTAATTTTTTTGTAATTTTAAGATTATTCGACTGTGGTAGGTATCAGACTTACCTAGACTCAATAGAATAGCACGCTAACTATCAAAGCTTTATATTTATTTCAAAATCAAACAGCCTAATGGAAATTCATATAGTAATGACATGGTTGATAAGAAAATGCACTGGCTGATTATCTGAAGTAGCTATTTGTGAAACCTGTACCTTAAACAGCCGCACTTTTCAAAAATAAAAAAATCCAAACAATTGAATATTTAACTTTTTGATTCGTAAGTTTGTAGGCAAAATTAATGAAAATTTTGAGTTCTAGTATAAATACATATTCATTGAAACTCTCAAAATAAAAAATACAAACAATTATACAAAAAGCTTCAATTTGAAGTCACTATCATTCTTATCAATCGAATAAAATCATGAATGTGATGTATCTTTTTTCGAACCCCTAGGTGTACAAACTTTCCATCCATATTTACGAACGCTAGTATAAGCAATATACTTGAGCATTCGAAGGAACCTCACGGTGTACCTAGGTTAATCTGGTGTAAGAATAGAAGTAACAAAACAATCTTAGCTATATTTGTCAAATTATATGTTATATAAATTTGGGTACTAATAATTAGGTATACATAAATAGACCCTTATATTTGCAATATTTTACACCATTAAGGGCTCCTTATGAGCCAACTACGGTATGAAAAAGCAATATTTAATGAAAAGTAAACATAGGTGATTTAATACCAATAAAAAAATATATAAATTGCTTAAGACAATTAAAATATGTATTATACTTAGTGAGATACTAGAACTTTTATGTAAAAACTGGAACACACAATTAATGAAAAATGTAGAGGAAAGCAAAAATGCGAATTGCAAACGAAATATTTTATGGTATCTATGTACAATATAGGATTACTATATACACCTTTAATGTATACACGATCACCTTTATAAAGCAATAAGTTTAAAAATAAAATAAAGCAAGTCACTCAATGTACAAAGGAAAAAACAATTGGTATTTATTTTATCGCGTGAAATTACTTATGTGTTAGTGAGAGGTGAGTAAAACTTTTATTATTATAACCAGCATTTTTATCTAAGTTCTGGCTTCAATTTTTAACACTTTAAGCAAATTTCACAAGTTTTTAGTGTTTTTAGAGGTATATAATTTCTTTAAGAGTTAACTGCAAATTAAGCAGAATATCGACGCGGATTTTGCGAGTTATGGAAAAATATTTTAGAATTGTAAAATATTATAAATCGAAAAGAATTATGTTGCCATTTTTGTCACTTTTTTCTGTGCGTGTTAGGGGCTATTTGGCACAATTTTATACTAGAATCTTATCTAAAATGTTTCCTATTTAAGTAGCACATCCGTTTTAATGTTTACGGTATTGCATAGCTTCTATCGCAAGCTTTGAGCGCTAAGACCGAATCAAGGAAATCCGTAACCGAAATAAACATAATCACTAAGTATGCGCAAAATGTTTGCATATTTTTAGGCGTATTTTCGCATATCTCAAGCGGAACAAATCAAATGAAGAGCAGGGTGATTTGAAAATAATATACAATTACAATTTTTTAATGGCAAATAAAAATATGGAATTTAATAAAAACTAAATTAGTAACAAATAAATGATCACAAACAAAAATTGGAAAACAATGAAAATCTTTTGTGATGCTATGCTTAGTAGTATTAGGTTGCAATTGAAAATTATAAAAAATATTTATTAATTTAGAGCTAATACAATTATCCTTTTGATTAAGAATAAAAGTTCAGAAATCATTTTTTTTAATTTTTTACAAAATCACAAAAAAAAGTTTAAATAGTTTCTGCATATGTTTAACGGATACATGTGTAATAATATTTAATCTTAATAAATGTTGGGTATTTTAATTTAAATTATAAAAATTATTATTTTGTCCGATCTGGCTACAATGGAAAATGTTATAAAAAACGTTAGCTTTGAGGCGTTCTCACAGTGGAATAAGTTGAGCATCCCTTTATTTCTGGTTTCAATGATAAAAATTCCTGAATAACCTACATGTAATGTAAGATAATATTAATATTTTAAACAATATTAACCTTTCATTTATTTAATAAAAGAAAAGATTTTGTTTACTTCTCGGTAGCCATGCTCAAAAAGTTTAACTTGAATTAATATCAAAGAAGAAACTTGAAATGATATCAAAGCAAAAAATACTGCTTAAAAAATAAATAAATAATAATTATTATCAGTTGAAAAAAAATGCTATGCAATAACTTTACCGCCCGAGTGCCACACGTATCTTTGCCGAATAGTGCTGATCATAAGTTTCGAACAAAATATTTATCTTAAAGTACACTTTGGGGTCGTAAAAACATTTTTAATTATTAAAATACCGAAATAATCCCTTTTCTCTGTCCACTGGTGGTGGACAATTGGTGTTGAGTCAGTCAACTTCAGCTTCAGCACGTTAAACCTTAAATGTTTTCTCAAAACTGCATTTCTCTAAGCGCGCGACGAACATACTCAGAGAATATCACACGTATCCAATTCAAATTTTAAATATAGCTACATTGTAATTCTAACTAATAAACTATGTACGTACGATTTTTTGTTATGTTTGGAACTTTTTTTACTAAAAATATACTGTAAATTTGACGTACTTTACTACGTACTTATGCAGATAAAAATCCTGAGTTCCTAGGACCACTGTCACACGTAGAGGTTCTTTTGAAAAATATTATGAGAGCCCGCCATTGTATAAAAAAGTGTCGAACAAAAAAGTATAGGTATTTTTTTGGACTTTAAAATACACGTTTAAAAATTCCTTAAAGAAGTCAAGCGGTATATGAAATACGAGTATAAGTTCCCAAGCTTACACAATAGTTTTTGATATAATTGCAAATTTAACTCAATTTTTTTTTGATTCTTGGACTATCAAATTAAAGTATGGAAATACATAAAACATAGCTTCATAGATATTTATAATATTCACATTTGACTTTTAGCTGAGTGCTTGATCGGACTTCTTATATTGGACGCACTGGTGTCATCTGAAAAATGTTGGTGCTACAACATTGGTAAACTTTTTATGATCAGCTTTTTAATGGCTAACACATACTAGACTAGAACTTTGCGTATACTTTGAGTATACTTGGTTAAACAAAAAAAAAAACTCCGTTCAATTTCCTTCACCCTTTAATTGAAATCAATCAAAAGAGAAAACACAATAATAGTTTTATTCCTGTTTGAGTTTTATCTCATGATATGTACATAAATCCTTTCTAGAAAAAGCGTGATGTAAGGAGACACACAATCAAGAATTTAATACGAAAATGGGCATATCGGGAAGATCCAGATGTCTTGACTTTTTTCTGCTAGAATTTTCAGTGGCGGGTTGCCAAAAGCTGTCAAAGTAGGACCATTATCAGATAAAAGGTTTGGCAATGTTGGTTGGAATTTAGGATGGAAATTAGGATTAGGATGGATAGGATCGCAATCGATGGGTGATCGCAGGACTGTTTACAAAGGAAAAAAGGGTATAATCATCACTATACAACTAAGCCATTTGATAAAGCCTTCTTAGTATATTTTTTCAAGTGACAACAATAACAGTTTTTTTAGAGCAATTAAATTCCAAAAATAACTTTAGAACACAAAAAGTCCCGTATTTAATGTTCTCAATATTCTGTTAAAGAGCATAAAGACTCAATACCCAACTAATATATGTAGAAGCACACATACAAACGAAAAAATAAGAGCTAGTAAAAGAGCAATCATCATTAGAAAATTTGAATTTTCTTTAAAATGATATTTTAATGCGTAAAATCACCGTAAAATGCTCTCTTAATATGATATAAATGAGCCGATAACTACATCAGACTATAATAAAAATTTAATGGCCGAAATACAACGAAGGATATACAGCCACACACCTCTACATGGATACACACAGGCTTATGTACATATTACACTCGGAAACAGTAGTTTTGTTTTATGAAGTTTCTTACCTGATTTTGTATGATTTTGCCATGCCGATTCTGATGGCTAATGCTCATCTTATGCTAGCCTCTGGAAGTGCAACATGAGCAGCTCAATGTGTTGAGTATAGTCTGGAGACTTTTTATTTCCTAAGAAATTTCGCACAACCCAAACAAATTTAATCCATGCAGATTTCTCCTTATCTGTCATACACTCAGTAAAATGTTGGTCCTTTATTAGTTCCCTGATTTCAGGATCGCCAAAATATCAGCATTAATTTTTTCTGTGCTCAATTTCGGAAATATTTTACTGATATATTTAAAACCCATTCTTGTTTACAGTTTTTACAAACTGTTTTATCAGACCTCACTTTATATGAAGAAGGGGTAATATAATATAATGCGGCTCTCTGGCTACTAGAGGGGCATTTATAACATTCATACTACTCAGTACTAAATCCACTCTCAAAGGGCAAACTGTTGTAGTCCTTAAGCACATGAAACTGGGTATTTGGTATATCCTCCTTGTTGACCCAAAAGGAAATTTACCACTTTAAGATCGACGCACATCAGCCAGTTATCTATTTTATTTTCCCAAAGTTGTCCAAATAGGCTTAGGACGTCAAATTAGTAAGAAAAAGTTTGAAAACTTCATAAAACAAAAAAAGGTAAATTTTGTTTACTAGTGTTATCTGTGGTGCAATCCCTTTAGGAATGGAAGCTTAAAGTCCACGCTAATATAGAGAATACGATAGACAGACACACACACTTATATTGTGGAACAGTGTTCGTGGGACTGCAAAGCCATAAATTTAAAAGTGTAGGAAAAAGCGACAGGATATAAAGAAATCGAAAACTGTTAGGAAGGTTATTCTTTAAGAAATGTATGTGATGGACAACGTTGACATAAAACAACAGCAACACAACACACAATCACACTGTTTGGAATGTCCCGAAGGGATTTAAGCTGGGAAAAAAATTAAAGTTACCAAACTGTCAGTTGAGAGCTTGCTGGGTCTTGTCACAAGTAGTACATCACTTGAAAATATGTGTTGAACGACAGACGCAACAACAATAACAGTAACATCATTGTAAGTGAAAAATAAGTGCGAAAGTGAGAGTCGAGGCAACGGAGCAACTATGGCAATAATATGCTCATATACGAAATCGCATACTTGGGAAATGTCTGTAAACCACTCCGAAAAGGCACAACCGTAAAGTAAAATGGGCTTAAACTGAAACGCACAGCCATATATTCATATATGGTATCTATATAAGCAAGTGTATATGTATGTGTCAATGTGTGAATCCAATATATCAGCACGTGAAGGCGAAAAAAGTATTTTAACGCAGAAAAACTGTGTGAAAAGGCGGATGGCGAACAAAAGGCGGCAAATATTTTATTACATATTTTGATAGACAAGCGTGCAATTGACCCTAAATAGTTCCATTTAATACGAACAAACATCTTGGTGTTATGGATAGTATTTTTTTTGAGATATAGAACTATTCTTTAAAACAAAATCGTTGAAATCGAATAGAAAGGCAAATATTCTGGGTTTATTAGTCGGAAAATTGTAAGACTTTAATGAACTCGAATATTTAGTGACCATGACTGTATCTTATTAAGCCTCTTGGGGTGAAAAAGACGTGTGCGAAATTTCGGATCAATATCGCAAAAACAGGGAGACAGACATGGATATGTCGACTCAATTCATCACGTTGATCAATTTCGAGTATATATATACTTTAAAGAGTCTCCGTCGTTTCCTTTTAGATCGTACAAACTTTAGGGTATAATAGATAATTAGTATTTCTGCTTATTAATTTTTGCTTATAACACCCCAATTCTCGCTAGTTAACATATATAGAATTAAAAATAATTTTAAATAAAAAATATTTTGTTTTGTTGAGTACGGACTATTGTCAGAGTTAGCATCAGACTTAGTATCAGACTAAAATCAGACTATTTTATTTCATATTTTTTGCTACACTTGTATCTCTTTCTTACATTTTCAATTTCTGTTACTTAGAGATAAGGA